ATTCAATATTTAGTTTTATTTAATATACTGTCTTATTTATTTAATTTTTACTACTTTGGGCATCCATACTGAGCAATGATAATTTGAAGTTTTTGAGATGGTAGGAGACTGAGCACGCTGGTCACGTCTGATCTGCAAGTTTCATCGGACCTACAGTACTGAATCAAGTGACAAAACTAGAAAACTAAACTATAAATCCACATATTGCGTTACAAGAATGAGACCTAATTCAAGCCATAGCAAGTGTTATTTAACATATTTTGGTTATGTTGATTTGGTCCTGAGAATCAATACAAATCATCTTTTGCATTTGGCACCAATCACCCTGTAATGAAACAGCAAAAGAAAAAAAATGGCACAAAAACACAAACATTCGCCATTTGTTGATCAACGATTTCTTATGAAAGGCAAGTTTCAGAGTTTGTTGAGCAGAGAAAATTCATTGTTGACCACATATAAAAGAGATGGAATAAAAACTACTCTTGGATGCTGCAGCTGTTACAAATAGGTGCAACATTCTTAAAATGCAATTGCACTTGTCTTTGTATTTTCTGTGAAGGTATTGTTGTTACATTTCCAACAGCACTGGTCTTTTCGCGTCTTTTTTTAAAAAGTCCACAAGAGGTAGTAGAAATGACTCATGTAAACAATAAATGGAACGGCCATTTGGTGAAACTGTCGGTGGACTCACACTCACGCTGTTTTAAAGCTTCACTGGATTAATATGTGGGGGAAAAAAATCTTTACATTATTTTTGAGCAATTAGGTCTTAATTTAACTTCCACTGCCACGTGAGGCTGATTAAACAAGTTATCTCTAACAAATGATTTTTAAGGATCAGAGTTCTCTAATGAAAACTATGACAGAGTCTATGAACGTTGCTCAAACTAACCAGTATCTTCAAAAGAGCCACTTCTTTGTGATTATTACCATATACTGTAATTTACCTAAACACAATCCCAAATTATTGTGTTAGAAAAACTATAACATTCCCAAGTTGTGCGTTTATAGACTAGAAAGCATATCAAAATGACATCACAGACCCGTGGTTGATGACATGGCAGCGCCTGAGAAAGAGAGAAACACTACTTTGTCATCTTAAACTATGAATGTGGCTGCTGGTCAGCCCATGAAAACCATAAAATATTCTCAAAATTGGCACAATTAAATCTTATGCCGACCTGGCAGCTGGGTCTGTTATACATTGCATACTGTTCGGTCTAATCTGTGCGTTTTGAGTTCAAATATTGAGCCTTATACATGGAGGAGGATGACTCGAAACAGAAGCTCAGAATTTGGAAGGATTCAGTGAGACCCACAGTTGCTGGAGAAAAGCGCCTGGTCCAGATTTCCATCTCATTCTTAGAGCAGGACAATTTCGACTTGGTCGTGAACGCCCTGCAGGAGCAGCTCGCCTTCGTAGCTGACAATCTTCTTCTTCTTGGCAGCTCTTAGCGTGCCCACCAACGCTTCGAAGATATTGGCACAGCGGTCGTCGCTGAACAACACGCCGAACTTCACGATAGTTTGACCAAGATCATCTGAAATGAAACGTTAGCAACAATGGTAGTGAATAAAGTTCATTTCCTAATAATTCTACAGGTTTAATTTATAAACTTTATATGTAAAAACTATATCCAGGAGCTTTTACACCAAATTATTGTCTTAACTGTATCCTTGAGACACATTAGCAGGTTGGTAAGAGGAGAAATAATAAAAAAAACTAACTGCGTATTGCTCTTTTACTAAATGGTGGAATTGAGAATGAGTTTAGAGAAGTTACCACGATACTGGACTCACTTTTACTGCCGAGTCGCTGAATCTCCTGCACCAGCAGCTCAACTTCATGGGACACGTTCATTGTTGCTAAAAGGGGAAAACAAAACAAAATACATTTTAACTTTACTACATTTAGCTTTAAAGGGTCAATACACCTGATAAGATGCACACGAATGTCTCTGGTTCATACCACTAATGAGCAGAATAGTCCACCAAGCCAAACTCTATTCAACACTGTGACACTTTCATTTTAAAGAAAGTCTTCTTACAAGCAGAAAGTTATTAATTGAGGCTCATTCTTTAAATCGGTATAAACGTGATTAAACAAGGAGAATTTAGTTTCAAATAAATGTTCAACTTCCCTCTTTGACATCATGAGCACATCGGACAACCCTTGCTAAGTGGAGAGATTGGGGGAGTATTGATATAAATGAAATGATTCGCTGCTTGGTGATGTAACATGAGCCGAATACTCCAGAGGGGGGGCAGTAATTCAGATGTAGTCTTAACTTTAATTCGTCCCATTGTTAAATTGGACTATAAGCAAGGTAATGTGAATTATGACGAATTCATAAAGGAGTCTGGGGCTGTCATCTTTTTTTTTTTTTTTTCCCCCTCTGAGAAGAAAATAAAGATTTAAGACAAAAGCAACAACACAAATGCTGATTTCAATCCTCTTCAACCACAAGAACACTATCCAACAGGCTGCACGTGATCCCTGCACACTTCACCTGACAAGCTCGAGCACGAAGCAGGGCGTTCTGACAATGCGGAAATGGAGGGGTTAGCACCGGTTAGCATCCAGACTGAAGCTCGGTGGGACTCGGTCATTTTAAAAAACAGATCCGAGGACTCGTGTCCTTTATGTCCGCGTGTCTGCGGAGCTCTCACCCGAGGAGGAAGGTTTCTCCCCGGGGGGCTGGAGACGTTAGCTCGCCGGTTAGCTGCCAGCTAAAGCACCAGCCGGGAGAGTTCCTGACATCCGGATTAAACAGGTGGAGGTTTAACACAGGAATCCAGCTCAACGCAGCGCGGGACTGAACCAGAAAGACATGAGTTCGAATGTATTTACCTGGTTTCTTTAGTTTGTTGGTTTTAAAATGAGAAGTTTCAAAGAATCTTCCTCATCTACCGGCTCCGCTGCTGCTGCTGCTGCGTTCAGGGACTGCTCGGGGATTCTGTGACGCTCTTTCCTCCCTTTGGCTTTTAAAGCACTTGTAGTGGGGGCGTATTTGCCGGGGTGGGGGTCGGCTATACCCACATTATTAAAGCATTTACTCACTTTTACTTTCCTCCTCCAGCAAATTAATTCCATGGGACACATCCACTGTTGCCAAAAGGGGAAAACAAAATAAAGTACATTAGACCAAAAACACATTTTAACTTTACTACATTTAGTTTTAAAGGGTCAATACACCTGAGAGGATGAGAGCGATCATCTCTGGAGAGTCCACCAAGTCCCAAACTCTATTCAAGATTGTGACACTTTAATTTTCATTCATTGGATTATGAGCATGCTAATGTGCTGCATTTCCTGTGTGTACAAGTTTCCCATAACACGTGGAGGCACCATACGAGCCTCTCTGACTTGAGACAGATGTGTGGTTCTTGGTTCTTGCAGGGTGCTGCTCCATATATGGCAAAGAAGAAGTGCAGGAGCTCTTGGGCTGGTTTTCTGCTTCTAGATAAAGTTTTAAACTCGTGTACTCATGTCAGAATGACCCACATTACAGATCAGACCGACGCTCAATCAGCAAATATGCAAACTTAGAGAGAAGCTCTTGATATCAGGCCCAAATATCTCACAAGAAGTTTACTGCTCGCTTTTTGGTACTGAAAGTTTCAACCCCCTTTCCTCCCACTGTTACCTGTTAATCGACTACATGTTTCAGCACTAAGTGGCTTTGCATTATTCTCGCAACTGATTTGCTTGCACAACGTTCTTCTTTTAGCTGCTTGAGACATATGTTTTTGAAATTCCTGACTTGACATGAGCATTAGAATGAAAGATACGTGCAGAGAAAAAGACTCAGAGACTTAAAACACAGACACAAAGAGACCATCTTGAATAATATATAAGAGTTGTATGCATGTTCAAATGTACATTTGCAGGCTTGAAGGTACAAATGCTACTCTGGTGTAAATTGTGCTACATTCATTTCCATGTAACCCCCATGTTCTTGTCAATAACTGTGTTGTAAATAAGAAATTTGATATTATTCATCCAGCATTACTGAGGCAGAACATCACATAAGTATATGTTAACTATACATCATGCCACAGACACCATATACCCACATTATTAAAGAATGTACCATGATACTGGACTCACTTTTACTGCCTCATAACAGATTAAACCAATGTTTAATAAGCACATATGCAAAATTAAAGAAAAGCTCTTGATATCAGGCCAAAGTAACTCACAAGAAATCTGCAACTCATTGTATGTGTTTTAAGTTCTAAACAAAATAAAACTACTACTCGCTTTTTTGTACTGAACATTTTAATCCCCTTTCCTCCCACTGTTAACTACATGTATTTGGAGCAGCCCCTCAGCTCCTCTCTCCCTCCATCACCCTCCTTTACACCAGTGGGCACCAACAGGCCTGTGTCAGAGCAGACAGGAACAGGAAACAACAGGAAGATGCATCATTCAGACCCACGCTTTTCCTGCTGTGACATGTCTGCAATGAGAAAGACCTACTGGGTTCAACCATTCCAGTTCTATTAGCATAGTTCATTGAGTGCCAACTTTTTCATGTACAGCGGAGGATATGCTTCTGTCTGCATTGTTTATGTCTTTTAATTCATGAGAGAAGAAAATGGTATATGTCATTTTTACCACCAGTAATCAAGGGTTGTCAGAGTTACAGCAATATATGTTGTTATTTATTTGGCAAAAATGGGTAGAAAAGTGTATTTCAAGGTTTTTTCGTTGACTTTGATTAAAAACTCATGAAACTTTGTAAAAACACAACTCACACTCAGGGACTCAGCGCAGCTTTTATTTTGAAATCCCTCATCCGGGCCCCTTCAGACTGAGCGAGCTCGCGCTGACGTCAAGTTAGCTACAGGTCACACGACACTATACCGGAAGTTTAGATAATTCTACTTCAGAATAAAAGTTAACCTTTGTGCTTCAGGGGGACTGACGATGGTTGAAGAAACTTTTATTAGACAGGTGTTACTAGCTACTAGCTTTTGATGGATCCACCTTTGGTTTCAATACAATCACACTTAATCTTTAAAGTGAAAGTGTTATTGCCTGGGTGTCTAATTGTTTTATTACTTGATAGATGCAATATTAATTGGCAACCAGTTTGATAATGGATTATCAATTAAGTTTCTACTAAAAGGAAAAATGACAAAAATTGACCATCCATTAAAATGTATATTTTTTTCATAATTTTCTCTAATTTCAAATTTAGATTTTTAAATTTAACATCTTTGGAGTTTCGCTTCGTTGGGAAACAAAACAAATAATCACTAAAATATGTTCACTCAGTCTTTGGAAATCAATCAAATATTAAAACCATTGTCAGTAATAATAACAATGTAACTTACACAGTGAAAATACGGAAGGCATCTGACTCATATACTATATTAAATAAATATATTATTGTTAATATTTAGTTCAGGTGACTGTGAGAGGGTCTCTTAAAGGTTCAGTGTGTAGAATTTAGTGACATCTAGTGGTGGAGTTTCATGTTGCAGTTAAACACCCCTCACCCTCCAAACCTGTGCGAGCTTCAGGTGTCATAAAAACTCAAAAAGTTTAGTTTGTCCAGTCTGGGCTACTGTAAAAAAAACATGGCAGCCTCCGTAGAGAGAACCCGATTTAAATATAAAGTATTAAAATATAAAGAAAAGAACAATTTGTACTTTAAATAAAAAACTAGTGAAGACATCTCTAGGATTATTTTATTTTAAATGTCTGCCAATAGAGCCCTTCATCTAAAGCTCACACACCGGACCTTTAAGTTGAAGACTCCAGGCGGAAGTCTGGTGTTGTCTCCGGGTGGACGGACGCTGGCAGCAGGAATGGCGGCTCCGATCACCAGAGGAAGGAACCCGAGGACCCAGAAACTTTGCGTCTGACGGCCCCGCACGGGAATTCGTCCGCGACGAAAACGCAGAGAGCGCGTCCCGCAGCGCTTCACGCACAGATAACGTCAGAGTGAACGCGGCGCGCGTCCGGGGCCGAGCGGGTCGCTCGTTAGCTAAACGTTGGTGCCTGTGTTGAGCCCAGGTAGCCGTTAGCTCCGCTGCTAGCCAGCTGTTGGCTCCGGTGACCCAACAAGTTCCCAAAGTGTCTGGGAACGCTCCGCGATTCGACCGCGAGGAGGCGATCGGCTCCCCCGGCTAGCTGTTAGCATCGGGGGCTTCCACGGAGAGCGGCGTGCCCGCGTTGTGAACACCATCACCCCCGCTTAACCTCCGCGCTAGCTGGTGCACCGACGCTAGCTAAGTTGGGATCCTGAAGTCTCGCCCATTTTTTCGGGATCCTGCCCCGGCCATTGGCTAAGGGGCTAATCCACGACCGAAGTCGTCCGGTTTTCGGGTGCGTCTCGGTGCCACGATGGAAAGTCTAACGCTGACCGACGTCGAGCAGAAATATTACTCGGATCTGTTCGTGTACTGCGACACGGACAACACCAAGAAAGTGGCGTCCAACGGCAGAGTTGTTGACCTTTTCCGGGCGGCCCAGCTGCCCAGCGAAGTTGTCCTGCAGGTAAGCTAGCCTGAGCCGGGGTGTTGTGATGACACTGTGGAGCAGGTGTGTGTGTGTGGGTTGGGGGTGTATCTCACAAACGTGCCCGGCTGTCAGAGCCGACCTGTCAGCCGGGGGAAGTGTGGTTAGCCCCGGTGTGGTTAGCAATGCTGCGCAGCGGCGGAGACACACCTTCTTCTGGCTAATGTTAGCCTTAGCCGAAATAGCAAAGTTAGCCGAGTTAACCTAAGCCGCGGCTCGTGTGAACATCCTGTCTTCATAACAGACGATGCCCTCAGAGTGTCTGAGGGTTTGTTCTTGATCAGCTAATAAATGTCCTCGGCAGCATTTCTGCTTCAGATCACTTCCCATTGTTTCCTCTATTGTCACTTCAACATCTGCTCTTCTGTTGTTCGCCAGGTTGTGCTGACATATTGGGAATGTAGACAAGTTGTCATCAAACCTAGACTGTCTCAAAAATACAGAAGAGAAGAGACTGAGCCACACACACACACACACACACACACACACACACACACACACACACACACACACAGAAAACCACCATCAGGGCTGAGACTCAGTAAAGAGCATACATCCAACCAAGGCCTGTTAGTCCACTTAAATTCAACCAAGCTCCACTAAATTGCACATATTCATTCCCTAAATGTGTCCGATTCTTCTATTTTCATCAAGAAACCAATGCTAATGTTGCAAAACACCCCACGTCAAAATGTTAACGAGATAAAAGCAATCCCTGGATCCAGATTCGCACCAGCGTTATACGTGTTCCTCCCTGATCCTTGCTTCAAGTTTCATGGAAATCCTTTGAGCAGTTTTTTGCGTAATCCTGCTTCCAAACATACGAACCAACCAGCAAATGGACAGGGGTGAAAACAGAACCTACTCTGCCGAGGGAATAATCCCATCCACCCCCTTCTCTGTCTGACAGCTGAGTTAGGAGCAGTCAAACAGCAGCGGCTCGTTCTGGTGACTCGAGGTCTCCCAGCAGGCCCAATCTTTGCAGTTTGTGACTCAGCATCATTTTCAAGGTCAACAAAGGGGGGAGCTGTGTTGTTGTGTTGTTATCCTCTACTTTCCAACATGCACACTGAACGCTGCTGTGGCCTGTGTGAGAGAGAGAGACACGGGTACAATGTCGTGTTGGAACAGGCTGAGAAAAGTGACTGGTACTTTGTATCCACACACACACACACACACACACACACACACACA